AAACAAAGAATTTATATGCATATATGCATTACCTATGGACACAGACAATGGGGTGGCAAAGGCCTGGGGTGGGGTGGGAACTGGATGGAGGGGACAATGGAGGGGGGTACAAAAGAAGAACATCTGTAATAATCTCAATAATAAAGATTGAAAATATATAAAAATTAAAAAATAATGTTTGGGACAGAAAGAGGGACATAATTGCAGAGATTATAGAATTCATATCTGCAAATTGAAGATACCTTTGTTGACTTAATAAAGAAGAACTGACAAGCCTACATCATATTTAATGGTGACACTCTAGAAACTGCCCTACTATGAGAGAAGCAAGACAAATTGCCACTGACTGCTCTATTCAGCATTCTACTGACAATGGTAAGCCAGTGCAACAAGAAAAGAAAAAAATAAGCTGTACTTATAGATTTTAAGAGACAAGTGTTTTAAATTATAGAAACGACAAGAGACTTTTCAGACAAGCTATTAGAACCAATAGAGCTCAGCAAGTTTGCTGTAGCCAAGATCAAAATACAAAATCCACAGTAATAGGTATTTAGAATGTCATAGAAACACATTACATTCATAATAGTACAAAACTATGTTACTTATACCTAAAGTTACTTAGAAACAAATCTAATAAAAGATGTACAAGACCTTTATAAGGATATTACAAAACATTGTTGAAGAAGATATAAGAATTTCCAAATCAATGGAATGTTATATTCATAGATGGGAGGACTCAATGACTTAAAATTTTTAATTCTTTCTAGATCAATCTTTAAAACAAAATACTGACAGATTTTTCCATGGATCTTGAAATGATAAACCTAAAATTTATATGAAAAATTAAAGAACCAAGACAGGCTAAAACAACTTTGAAAAACAAGGTGGGCATGTCAAGTGCACCCTTAATTGAGCTTGAAATGACATCCTTGTAAATGAAAGATACCATATATTTATTTCTTTCAACTGGAGGAACCCCAACTTTGAAACCTGAGGGAATAAATTGAGATTATAAAAGTAGGTTTATAAATTTCAGTGTGCAGAAATGTCACTGGACTTTAATCCTCTACCTATCATATTCCTGGTTAATTCAACTTCTTTAATGTAGGTTTCTCATCTTGAAATAAACAATCACATGGAAAAAAGTAGGTCATTGGAAGAACTACATTGTCTACTATTAAATTCTACACAAATGTAAGCTAGAAGGGGCCAAAAAAAGTAATAATTTTATTTTGGGGGCTTTTATATCAGTAATAATGAATTGAGAAAAGGCTTAATTTCCTTAAAGACATATTTAATGTAGAAACTATTCTTTAAAAATATATTTTATTGATTTTTTACAGAGACGAAGGGAGAGAGATAGAGAGCCAGAAACATCGATGAGAGAGAAACATCGATCAGCTGCCTCCTGCACACCCGCGACTGGGGATGTGCCCGCAACCAAGGTACATGCCCCTGACCGGAATCGAACCCGGGACCCCTCAGTCCGCAGGCTGACGCTCCATCCACTGAGCCAAACCGGCTATGGCAAAATTATTTTTATTATGAAATATTTCAAACATTCAGAAAATACATAAGTAACTGTTGAATACCACCTGGCTCTGTTAAATTTTGTCATGCATGATTCATAAAATAGTCAAGCACTGAAGCTAGAGTTGAAGCTTCCTGATAACCATATCTTTCCCTTTCTGATTTTAGTGTTCGTCAATCTTGCATATTTTAAAATATTTCCATAAACACATACACACATATATACTACATATATATAGACATATATATAGACATATATATGTATATATATATATAATTATGCTATATAACACATATATAACATCATTAGGCATGTTTTCAAGCATTATATCAATGATAGTGGAATGCAATGTATATATTTTTTCGCATAAATATTATATCTTAAAATTTAATTACAGTATTTTGCTATATGTAGCCTGAGTTCACTAATTTTGCCTGCTGTGTAGTATATTTCATTGAGTGAATATACTACAGTGTATTCATTCTCCTGTTGATGGGAACTTAGAATATTTTTAATTACTTACAGTCATAAACACAGCTGCTATAAACATCCCTGTATATTTCTCATAGTCATATGTGCAAGTGTTTCACTAGTAAATACCTACAAATGGAATTGCTGAGTCACAGAGTATATACATCTTTAACTTTGCTAGATACTGTCAAATTGTGCTACTAAATGTTACACTAATTTACACTCATAGTAGTAGTTTATGAATTTGAATTGTTCCATATTCTTATTAACACTTGAGGTGGCCAAACTTTTGCTTTTTGCCAATCTGATGGGTATGAAATTCTATCTCATTTTCATATTTAAAATTCTTGGTACCTAGTGTGGAACAACATCTGAATAGCATGACATACATAAGTATCATTGCTGATCAAGTTCATCCTATCATTTTGATGGCGTATCCCAATGGAGATGGCTTCTTCCAACAAGACAATGTGCCATGCCACAGTGCTCATATTTTGCAGGAGTTGTTTTAAGAACATGAGGGAGACTTTACCTTGCTTAGGTGGCACCCACAATCACCAGATCTCAATCCAATTGAGCATTTGTGGGACAAAGTTAAAAGAGCCATCAGGCAGCTGGTTCCACAACCATCAAATCTCACAGAACTGGACAGTGCTATTCATCAGGCATGGTGTCAGATAACTCACATCACCTTTCAACATCTCGTGGAGTCAATGCCAAGAAGAATCACCGCAGTATTGAAGGCAAAAGGTGGCCCAACGAAGTACTGATGGGGTGGTCATAATAATCTGGCCACTCAGTGTATGTATGTGTATGTGTGTATATATATATCTTCCACGTTCAAAGGCTGTTAAATCGCTTTGTTTACTCATATCTTCAGAAAAAAACCACTTCCACGGTCATGGTAAACAACCTGCTTCTCTATTTATAATGGTCTGGCCCTCTAGCAACTTCAGTGCCAAATTATAGCTAATTTGCCTACAAATGTCAGGTGGTCATAATAATCTGCCACTCAGTGTATATGGGTTATGTTTTCTTATCCATTCAGCTATACTATGTGTTTTTATTGGACAATTTAATTCATTTACATTTAAGGTTATTATTGATAGGTACTTATTTGTTGCCATTTTAATTCTTTATGCTTGTGTGCCTCTCTCTCTTGCTCTATTTCTTCATCTTATAGCTGCCCCTTTAGCATTTCTTGCAGTGCTGGTTTGGTGGTAATAAACTCTTTTAGCCTTTTTTTGCCTTTATTTTACATTCCATTTTGAATGATAGCCTTGCTGGATAGAGTAGTCTTGGATTAAGTCCCTTCCTTTTCATTACTTTGTATACCTCATACCACTCCCTTTTGGCCTGAAGTGTTTCTATTGAGAATTCAGCTGATAGTTTATTGGGAACTCCCTTGCAGGAGTTTGTCTCTCTATTGCAGCCTTTAAGATTCTTGCTTTGTCTCTAATGATTGCCATTTTAATTATGATGGTCCTGGGTATGGGTCTTTTGAAGTTCTTCTTGATTGGGACTCTCTGTCTCTCCTCAACTTGAGTGAATTTTTTCCTTCACCAGGTTAGGAAAATTTTCTGCCATTATTTCTTCAAATAGGTTCTCTATTCCTTGCTCAGATTCTTCTCCTTCTAGTATCCCTATAATGCAAATGCTGTTACATTTCATGTTGTTCCAAAGCTCTCTTACATTCTCCTCCTGCTTTAAAATTGTTGTTTTTTTTTTCCCAATTGCTGCTCTGAATGGGTGTGTGTGTTTTTTTTCTACCTTGTCTTCTAATTTGCTGATTTGGTCTTCTGCTTCTACTAGTCTACTGTTGTTTCCTTCCAGGGTATTTTTAATTCAATTGTCATTTTTCATTTGTGCTTGATTCTCATTGATGGTTTCTACCCTTTTCTTTATGCTGCTATAGTTCTCATTAAGTTCCATAATGTTCTCATTAATTGGCTTGTAGTTCTCACTAAGTTGTTTGAGTATTCTTATAACCATTAGTTTGAATTTTTCTTCTTACAAATTGCTTGCTTCCATTTCATTTAGTTTCTTTTCTGGCGATTCCTCCTTTTCTTTCACTTGGGGGTTGTTTCTTTGTCTCAACATTTTTACTGTTCCTTTGTGTTTGTTTCTATGTATTAGATCAAACTGCTGTGCCTCCCAGCCTTTATGGAGTGGTATTACGTAGTAGATGCTTTGTGGAACCTGGTAGTGCAGTCTCTTAGATCTCCTGAGTTGGGTACTCTAGAAATGCCCCTTGTTTGTGTTATGTGGGTTCTCCTGTTTTAATTGGGTCTTGAATGTTGTTGTCTTGTTTGTGGATGGGATCTTCTCTCAGGCTGGCTGACTATGAGGCTCATCCCCAATCATGTCATGAGAGCTGTTGTGGAGGTGCTGACAGAACAGAACAAAATACAGCACAACAAAAAACAAAACAAAGAAATAAAACAAAAACATAAACAAGACCCCTACGACAACAAAAATAGCCACCAGAGAGGAGAAAATTAGGAAAGAGAAAAGAAAGCAAGAATTATAGAAAAGAAAGAAAATATGAGGAGAAAAAAAGCAAGCCAAAACCAAAATGGTATGGGGGGGGGGGCGATGAAAAAGGAATATGAAGGGACAGAGATAAAATAAAGAAAATAAGAATAAATAATAGGGGAATAGGGGAAGGAAAACAGTTTAAAATAAAAGAGGAAGAAAATATTTATAAAGGAGAATAGAGGAGAAAGCAAATAGACCCAAAATAAGAAAAGGAAAAAAAAAATATATGAGAAAGCAGGAGACAAAGAAAAAAATGAGTAGGAAAATGGGAGAGATAAATTAGATATATGAACAAAACAGTAGAGATTAAAATAATAACAGATCAATGAAGCAGAGAGATGAAGATAAATGAAAAAAAAGAAAGGGAAGAATAAAAAAGGAGAGAATACAGTGAAACAGCATTTGTCTCAGCAGAGTTTAGTGCCTCATGGGAGCTCCATTTGGATCCTGCTTTTCTGATGACTGTGGCTGACTGTTCCGTCTGCCAATTCTGGGTTTCCCATGAGGTACATGGGTGCTAACCACTGTCAGAAACTATCCTCCTTTGGTTTTCAGCAACCTGCTTGAAGCTCCAAGTGATCAACAGTTTGTGGCTGTCTCCACAGGACTTGACTGCATGTGGGAGGGGCCCAGCTGCCCTCTAAACATAGGGCCCTGGGCTGGGTCAGTAAGCTTCCCCAGGTTCCCTGGGCTCTGCCTGGAGGTCTTCACTTGCCAGCCAGCTGTCAATCTTAATCACTCAAAAGTCTGTTTCTGAAAGGGCTTTAGATAGAATCTGGAGTCTAGACCTGTGTGTCTCCATGAGGGGGAGATGCTGTTCAGATTTCAGGGAAAGTGGTGGGTGAGTTTCCCTTCCCTGAGCTACTCCTCTGTGAGTGGCCCAGAATAGTACTCTGCCCTCGACTGGGTGGAGATCCTCATATGCAGTCTAGTGGGATCAGTTGGAAACCTGGAGTTTCTATCAGCTCTCCTGGTACAAGGGAGGCACTAGCCAGGTTCCCAGGATAGTGGGGCAGGACAGCCCCACCCCCAACTCAGACTCTCCCTGAGACTGATCAAATGGGCAGGCTTGGCCTCTATGGCTGAATCCTTTGCAAAGGTCAAGATGCAGGGTGGGCAGGCAGGGCTCCTGAGGGTGTGGTGGTCTGTATTACTTAGGGCAGGGTTTTCTCCTTTTCCTGAGCTGTGGCTTCTGGGAGTGGCTAGCTCCTCTCAGGAAAAATGAGCATTTCAGTGTGGAGGTATACGGCTGAACCCAGGACTCCCAGCTGCTGCTTTTCCACATCTTCCTCCAATGCTTCCCACCCCAGCCTCTCCTTAGGCACCTCGAGCCCACACAGACTTCCCTACACCAAAGCCTCAGGTGAGTAGCTGCAAATGAAACTCCTGTGTCCTGGGTTAAAATAAACCACACAAAACAAAAACCAGAAACTGAGGTTTTCTCTCCAACCAGCTCCAGTCTACTGGCTCCAGACTACCTGGTGGCAAACAACCCTGTCATGTTTCATGGCTGGATGTAATGTGCGCTGCTGGTCTCAGCTCTGGTTTCATATCTCACAGATGAATATGGTGCCCAGCCTGGGTTCTAGGCCTCAAACTTCTGAAGGAAAAGATCTTCCTGTAGCCAAGAGTTCCCTCCTCACTCTGGGCCTGACGCCTGTGAGGAGGTCAGCCCCTCTCACCGCCTCACCCTTCTTACCAGCCTCCAGGGAGTTTCTCTCCTTCCTGGACATAAGTCTCTTCCTCTTCTGGACCTCACTTGGTAATCCTAGCTCTTTTCTTTGCCCTTGAGCACTCCCTGTATTTGGAAAGGCATACTATGAGACATGGCACTGATCTTCCAGGTTTTATCATTTAATATTTACATCTAATATTGTAAATTCCATGCCTCAAGTAGAAAATATCTTTAAAGATAAACGTATCCCTATGTTCATTGCAACATTATTCATGGTAGCCAAGACATGGAAATAACGTGTCTTACGATGGATAATTGGATAAAGAAGATGTGGTACATATATACAATGGAATACTATTCAGCCATAAGGAAGAATGAAATACTGCCATTTGCAACAACATGGATGAATCTTGAGAGTATTATACTAAGCAAAATAAATCAAATGGAAAAGGATAAAAACAACATGACTTCATTCATCTGTGAGATATGAAACAGAAAGCAGTAATCAAACAAGCAAAACAAACTCATGGACACAGACAATAGTATGGTGGTTTCCTGAGAACAGAGGGACAAACATGGTAACAGAAAGAGACTCGACTTTGGGTAGTGATTATACAATGCAATATACAGACAATATATTATAGGATGTATACTTGAAACTTATATAATATTATTAACCAATATCACCCTAATAAATGTAACTTAAATTTCATAATTAAATGTTGGAAAATATTAAAAAATAAAATATTAAAAAATATTAAAAAAGGAAAATGTTAAAATATTTAGAATATAGATATACAGAACAAGGAAATTCTTAGGAAAAGTTGGTTGAGAATCATTTTAAGTCTCAAAGACAAAAATGACATCTATAGCTTAGAAATATACCATTTGAATAATAAGTAGTTGGTGACAATAAAAAAAGTAGTAGACAAGTTGGTGGCAGTAATATTAACATTTACAAACACCTTAATAAATTATATTTAGTCAATCAGGTTAGTTCTGGTACTTAATTCATAATTCATTGATTAATTCCTTCTTCTACCATTTTTATACCATCAATTCGTACTAAATAATGTTATATATTGTAGTATATGTGTTAATATTATTAAATATGCATTTGGATATGAATTTGAAAACCTTACTACATTATATTGATTATAGTTGAAGTCTAGAAGCAATATGTAAAATAATTCTAACACTTATGCCCAAAATATTTTTTGTCTTTTTATCTGCTAAGTTCCAATATCTTGTTACTGTTAAAATTATTTTTGTGTTAAAAATCCAAACACTTTCAATCAATATTTATTTTTATACATTTTTAACTACGCTTAGTAAAAACAAAGCAAAAATTTCCAGGTCCAAATTTCAAAGGATGAAAAGAAAGAATTTAAAATGCTTTCATATATATTGAGATTGTCCTACTATTCCTTAAAAGCCTTTCAATCACCTCTTGGATGTTTCTTCCCTAATATCTCAGAGAATTAACAACACAATGTAATCTAGGTTTGAATTTGGGTTCCTCCTGTGTTTAAGATATTTATGTTTGAGCTTTCCCTCACAGACAAGCCACTTAAAGAGTCACTGTTACTTTGAGGTTTTATCTATGAGATTTGTGTCTTTGGGGCTCATTAAGGACATTTACAAAGATTACAATGTCAATAGCACCTAATTTCTGGACTGTGAGAAAGGTCTTCTTGAGTACATAAAATCTGTGGCTGTGCACAGTACACAATGGGCAGCTCAGATCCCAAATTTTATCACACTTAAGTAGCAAACAAATTAATAATGTTACCTGGGCTCTTTCGGGATAATTACGACTGAGTAAAAAACTGCTTTGAAATTTTGCAGATAGTATTGTACCTCATTTTTTATTCCCTGTGATTAACAAAGATTTATTTATCGCTTTATCTCTTTTTCTATGTTGCATGACTCTCTGTTGTTCCCTTTAAAGATTTTTGAATTAAAACTTGCAACATACAAAGTTATTTTCAATCTGCTTAGGAAAGATATATTACCTGATAAAATGTTATTGTAAAATATATGTTTTATTTCACTTTTTGCATAGCTACTATATATATTAACACTAATGGTGGATTTTATTTTTATAGCTGTCTGGTAGAAAATTAGTTACTGAAAAACTAACAGAGAGAGTAGCTCTTTTAAATCATTAATCTACTGCTTAGGTCAAAACACAGACTTTATTTTGGGGACCGGGGATTCTATCATCAATAGCTTGGGGGGAAAGGTAAGGGGTTAGCTAGGCACATCACGTATTATCTCACTTAATCCTCATCACAAAGCTGGGGTGAGGTCACCATCTCCTTTTTATGTAGCAGAGAAAATTGAGCTGAAGTCACCCAGTGAGTGACTGGAACTGAGATGAGAACCCAAACTGTCCACTGCCGAAGCCTTCCTGTTACATCACATTTCCCACCGCGTTGCTGCAAAGGGGACCACAAGGCACGCAGGAGCCTTGGGGTAAGTCAGTATAACTGACTGAGTGATGAGCTTGGGCTCTGGGGCTGCCCTGTCTGGATTTGAATTCAAGCTGCTCCACTTACTTGTGGTGTAACCCTGGCAGCTTACTAAACCCCTTTTTATCCAGTTGTCTCCTTTCTAAATTGGGGGAAAGCAAGAGTACCAACCTCTTAGAGGGTTGAAGTTACAGCCTGAAAGACATTTAGAATAGGACCTACACTCACTAAAAGTATCTTGTGAAGCCCTGGCTGGGTAGCTCATTTAATTAGAGAATCGTCCCAACATGCCAAGGTTTTGGGCTCGATCCCGGTAAGGGTGCATACGGGAGGCAACCAATCAATGTTTTCCTCTCTCTAAACATCAATAAAAACTTATCCTTTGGGTGAGGATTAAAAAAAAATAGAATACAATATTGATATTCTATTTACATATTCTAAAAATGGAACTTAATACAATAGTGACTTTAAAGAACTCAATTTGGCTTCTGTTACAAGATGGGTTATAGTAAACCATGCCCCTCCCCACTGCCTTGTAATAGAATGTAATGAAGATTTGTCTATAAGTCAGATACATACTAACCACATAACTAAATACCTCTTTAATAATGTATTTATGAATTAGTGCTTGAAAACAGCAATAATGTATTAAACTATTTCCTAGGGGCCTAAAGAGGGTACTCAATCTTCCAAAATATCTGAGAGCCTGCCAGTGACTTGTGTAGTGAAGATAACTTGGTTCTTTGAATGCCTAGTGTGACTACCATTCAGTAGTCATAACCACTAAAAGCTGTGCTTTCTAATGAAAAGATTCATTTCTCCCCAAATTAGTAAATGTATGATTCATTTATTCCCCAAGTTGGCAAATTTGTAATAAAAATGCCCCCTGGAATTCATTTATTTGTTTATATTTATTAAGAACAAAAAATTCATTTCTAGTACACTTTGGATTAACTGGAACCCAATTAACCAGAAACTTTTTTAACAGGGCTATTTCCTCTAATTTCAGAGGGAAAACCAAGACCTGTCAAAGTTGTGTGTGAGATTTGGTAGAAAGAAATGCCAGGGTTATGTTCAGAGGCCGTTGGTATGAACATTGTCACCTATGCCTTCTATGCAATGCGGATTCATATTCAGAATGATGAGCTCTGTGGCATACTGCAAAGTTATGGATCATAGAAAATATTTACATTCAGTTTAATTAGTAAGGCAAAAAAGTGGACAAATGAATTTTAGGAGGGTTTTGAGTAGACCAGCTGGAAATAAGTCCACATTTTGCATTTGCAGGACTGAGAAAAGGGAGTGATATTTGTTTCAGCTATCGATTTGTACTACTTCAAATGGACCTTTGAAAAATGGTTTGCTTGGCTGAAGAAAATCAATTTTGGATGCGAACTCCTCAATTGAGATTTTTGTGGGATGAACTGCTGCATTTAATTAAATTTTGTAATTAAAACTTCAGGCCAACCACAGAAATTTACTGTATGATTGGAATTTCTGATAACTCAACAGATCTAATAATTAATTCACATGCCAATACCTTTAAAAGGTAGTAGTCATGCACTATAGAGTCCATCTGAGCCTTAGTGTAATTTAAATGCCAGCCCAAGAGGCAACCAGTGATTGCTGAAAGAGTCCTATGTAGTCAGAGCAGGCACCTCTGGAACAGATACTGCCGATACAATATAAGCACTACAGAAATAGCCTCTCCATTGCGTGGAGGCCCAGAATTAATCTCTAGCAGAGGTTTCTCTCTGCTAAAAAATAATTTAGCTTACAAAAAGTAGAAGATTTTAAAATTGGTGTCCAGGATTTAAACTCATATCACACACTTCTACCTTATATAAAGATTTACTATTAAAGCCCAGCTGGCATGGCTCAGTGGTTGAGTGTCAACCTATGAACCAGGAGGTCATGGTTCCATTCTCAGTCAGGGCACATGCCCAGGTTTCCGGCTCCATCCCCAGCCTTGGGTCATGCAGGAGGCAGCTGGTCAATGATTCTCTCGCATCACTGATGTTTCTATTTCTCTTTCCCTCTCCCTTCCTCTCTGAAATCAATAAAAATATATTTAAAATAATAATTATTTGTATTCAGACTAATAATGCCATATTTTGTTAACCTAACTTGTTTAATAGAGCGTACTAATACCTTTAAATGATGAATTTCTTTAATTTTACTTAATCACCCTGCCACTCAACACCCTCAGCTGGACTGCTTATAACATAGACAATTAAGGAAAGATGTAATACTTAGGGTTTGTATTTTGGTTTCCAAGTTTAAATAAAAGGAAGTATGATTGTATCCTCAAAGACCTATATAAAGTTATGGACAAAACATACTTCCATTTTCAAAAAACTCCAATTTGAAGCCCTGTAAGGACTGAGCAGAGATAAAGTATGCTAGAAATAGTCATATATATTTTTTTAATTATTAAGTTGGAAAAATAGAAATTTAACAAGATTATTAGGTAGTTGGGCAGTTAACTAATAAAAAAGAAACAGGATTCAATTGAGACAGTTTCTAGTTTTGAAATATGACAATCCATTTTCAAGTAAGAGCAACAATATTCAGAAATACATACTAGCATTTTTCATTCAACATATCTATGTATTAGTTTTATAAATTATCTGAAAAAAGTCATACATTCACCGAGAATACCAAACACCTCAAGTTAACAAAGAAAAGCAATGTTATTCTAAACTAAGTACCCATTCATTCTATGTGTGAAACTTTTTTCCAACAATAAAGATTTTTACCTTTTGGTGATCTCGAAAAGGATCTCTGATCATTGCCTATGTTTTCTATCTGAAGAATATTAAACCAAAAAGTTTCATTATTGCAGCTGAATATTGAATGATTAAATGTTTAATAGGGGAAAAATAATATACCTACCGAAGAAGGATTATCACTTCCAGAAGATATAGAATCTGTTACCAAGTTCGTTTTAGAATGCACAAATAAAGGTTTTAATTTCTGAAAGACACAAAGGCATGTACTATGTTGAAATAATTATCAAATAAAATGAATGTAGAATGTTCTTCAGCTCCTAGTTAACCAAGAGATGAAAACTATGTTCCTAACTTATTTGCTCAAATTATGGGTGAGAAAACCCTTTATTTTAAACCCATAGAATAAACCTTTTCCTTATTCAGGCTACTTTGAGAGAAAAATTCAAGAAAATATTTAAAAACCCCAAAATAATTAAAAACAGACAAATTGATAGGGGTTGGGATTTGTTGTTTAATGGGCACAGAGTTTCAGTTTTATAAGCAAGAAGGGGTTCTGGGGATCTGTTCTACAACAATATGAAAGTTTTGAAATTACTGAACTGTACACTGAACAATGGCTAAGATGACAAATTTTATTTTATGTGCATTTTACTACAATTTTTTAAAAGTCTTAAATAGTCTCTTTACAGATGAATATCCAAGAATGGCCAATAAGCACATGAAAAGATGCCCAACAACATTAATTATCAGGGAAATACAAGTTAAAACTTCAGTGAGATAGTATTTTAGCATGGCTAAAATTTAAAAACTGACAATATCAAGTTGGTACCAATGTGGAGCAAAAGAAACTCTCAAACATTGCTGGTGGGAGAGTAAAATGATACAATCGCTTTGGAATATTGCAATTTCTTATAAATATACACACTCTTATGTCCCAGCCTGAGAGTTACAAAAACATATTTCCCCAAATGACTTGTACAAGAATGTTTATAGAAACTCCCCCTACTCCCCAAAATAGCCATTAACTGGAAACAGCCCAGGTGCCCATCAAGAAGAGAATGGAAAAACTAAGTATGGTTTATTCCAGGGGTCCTCAAACTACGGCCCACGGGCCACATGCAAATACAAATATTTTATTTGTTCCCGTTTTGTTTTTTTACTTCAAAATAAGATATGTGCAGTGTGCATAGGAATTTGTTCATAGGGTTTTTTTTAAACTATAGTCCGGCCCTCCAATGGTCTGAGGGACAGTGAACTGGCCCCCTGTTTAAAAAGTTTGAGGACCCCTGGTTTATTAACTCAGTAGAATACTATTCAGCATTACAAAGAAACACACAATAGCATGGATGAATCTTAAAAGCACTGTATGAATAAAAAAAGATATAAAAGAATACACACTGTATATTATATCTATATATATACATTTTATGAACAGGCAAAACCAACCTGTAGTGATAGAAAACAGAACAATGTTTGTTTGGCATGAGAATCTGGGTGAGCTACTGTCTGGAAAGGGACATGAGGAGATTTTAGGGATGATTGAAATGTTCTATGCTTTCATTTGAGTGATGGCTATCCAGGTCATAAGTCTTCAAAATGTTATATTTGTGTATTTTATTATATAAAAATATACCTCAATATTAAGAAAACACTAAACCTTCTCTTCCATAGCATTTATTCAAATATGTAATTTAAAGTTTGATGTTTCTTTATTAATGTCTATCTTTTCTACACTGTAGGTTATTTTAACCTCTGTCGGTAAAACAATTTATAAGACCGACCAGGCAGTGATCTCATGGAATATATAGTCTATAAAGGAAGGAACCATATTTGCATGTATACTACCTTGTTCCCAACACAGAGCATGGCGCTTGGTACATATTTATACTCAATAAATATCTGTGGAGTGGATGAGTGACTAAAGTGTAGGGAACCAAGGGAAAATGTTAGTGTACCCCAAACTCATTCATCACTCTCTATCCCTCTCTTCTTTATTTTTCTTAAATACTAAAGGCCTGGTGCATGAATTCCTGCATGGGTGGGGTCCAGCCTGCCTGCCCCAATTGAGGCCAATCGGGGCCGGGCCTGACACAGGAGGTTGGCCTGCCAGCTCTTCCCCCCGTTGGGGGAAGGGGAAAGGCCAATTGGGGGTGGGACCAGCTGGGGGGAGGGGCCGTGGGAGGTTGGAGGGGGTAACAGTGGTCCTGATCAGGTCCTTTGGCCGCCGCAGTGCGTGTCATAGCGACCGGGTCATTCTGGTCATTTCGGTTGTTCTGGTGTTTTGGTTGCTTGTCTTTTATATATATACTAGTAGCCCGGTGCATGAAATTCATGCACACTAAAAGGGAATTTATTGCCCTAACTGGTTTGGCTCAGTGGATAGAACATCAGCATGTGGACTCAAGGGTCCCAGTTTCGATTCCGGTCAAGGGCATGTACCTTGGTTGCGGGCACATCCCCAGTGGGGAGTGTGCAGGAGGTAGCTGATTGATGTTTCCCTCTCATCAATGTTTCTAACTTTCTATCCCTCTCCCTTCCTCTCTGTAAAAAATCAATAAAATATATATATATTTTTTAAAAAGGGAATTAATTAGCGGAGATATTTTAATATTGCTAT